GAAGAAAGGTAGCCCTTTTTCTCCTAGTCGGGAGATGAATCTGTTGAGTGCCGCCATGCATCCTGTAAGCTTCTGTATGTCTTTAACTTTCTTTGGAGGTTTCATATCCATGATGGCTTTAACTCGCTTTGCACTTGCTTCAATTCCTCGATTCTTTGTCGACTAGAAACCCGAGTAGTTGTCCTGATGGTACCCCAAAAACACACTTTGTGGGGTTTAGCTTCCACTGCCATGCTTTTAGATTCTTGAAAGTCTCCTCGAGGTCTTCTATCAATGATCCGGGTTCTTTTGTCTTGATTACTACATCATCAATGTATGCTTCTGCATTTTTTCCGACTTGACTCCCCAAGCAAGTTTGAATTGCTCTTTGATATGTTGCCCCTGCATTTTTAGCCCAAAAGGCATTGATTTATAGCAATATGCCCCAAAGGGTGTAATGAACGATGTCTTGCTTTGGTCTTCTTCTCTTAAGGATATTTGATGATAGCCTGAATAGCAATCTAGAAAGGATAACAGAGCTGATCCTGTTGTCGAGTCGATGATTTGATCAATTCTTGGTGGGACATATGGATCTTTTGAGCAATGTTTGTTGAGGTCTGTGTAGTCGATGCACATGCGCCATTCTTTTGAATTTTTCTTCTCTACTAGGACTGGGTTGGTAAGCCAATCCGGGTTGATTATTTCTCTGATGAATCCTACTGCCATGAGCTTGGTGATCTCTTTTTTGATTGCTGCTTTTCTGTCTGGAGCGAATCTTTGTAACTTCTGCTTAACGGGTTTGGACCCTTTGTTCACATCAATTATGTGCTCAGCCAACTCCCTTAGGACCCCTGGCATGTCTGCTGGCTTTCAAGCGAAAATATCTTTGTTGTCCCAAAGAAAGTTGGTGAGCGCGAGTTCCTATTTGGGGTCTAGATTTGCACTGATGATTGCCGTCTTCTCTGGATCACCAGTCAGTAGGTCAATAGTCTTGGTAGCGGCTTCTTTTGGTGGTGCGAAGTTGCTTAGCTTCTTAGCCGGTATCTTAATCTCATCTGGGTTTATTTCGTTGGCCAGCATTGCAATCTCCTTTCCTTCCTTTATATCTTATAATCTTTTGGATATTTGTACTGCTTGTACGTCGCAATCATGTGCTTTCTTTAGATCTCCTTTCAATGATAATACGCCCTTTGTTGTTGGCATCTTGAGCAGTAGGTATGGATAATGTGGTACTGCCATGTATTTTGTTAAAGCTGGTCTCCCAAGTATTGCGTGGTAGCATGATTCAAAGTCTACAACTTCGAATTTGATGAATTCTGTCCGGTATTTGTCTGGTGTGCCAAAGGTGACGGGTAGGGTTATCTGTCCGAGGGGCATAGCTGCTCTGCCGGGTACTATTCCGTAGAATGGTGTGCTTGTGGGTGTCATTAGACCTTCACAATCTAGATTCATCCTTTTGAGAGTATCTGCGAAAATTATGTTAAGCCCGGCTCCTCCATCGATGAGTACTTTAGTTACTGCTACTCCTGTGATAGTCGGACCCAATACCAGCAGGTAGCATCCTGCGTTTGCTGCACTGGTCCATTGGTCTTCTCTTGTGAAGTGGATGGGGTACTCTGACCAATCTAGATATCTTGGGATGGCTGGTTCAGCTGCCATGATGGCTCTGTGAGCTAGTTTCTCTTGTCTTTTACTTCGTGTGTTAGGAACACCTGAAAATATCACCGCTAATTGGCGTTGGGGTTCTTGATAATCTCCTTTAGCTCTCTTTTCCTCCTTATTGGATTCTTCTTGCTTTGGCTCCGAGTTGTTTTGATTCATGTTTTCTCTCTTCATGAATTGCCGCTGAAAAGTGCTGCATTCAACTAACTTGTGTCTGGCCCCTAGGTGTATGTGACACAACATGTTTTCTATGTTTTCTGGCGCTCTTCCTCGGTAGTTGTTACTCTGATAGTTGCTATTACTGTTGTAACCGCTGTTGTTATGGTTGTTGCTATTGTTGTAGTTGCCATTGTGATTGCTACCATTGCTATCATTACCGTTGCCATTGTATCTTCTTTTGTTGTCTGTGGTTGCCACCATATTGTCCTGCCTTGGTCTTTTGTCTTACTGTCTGTAATCGAGTCTTCTATTCTCTGGGTTGTCCCTAGCAAATCTGTACCGAGTTCTTTCTTCTGACGAAATTAGCTTCTCAATAACCCTCTTGAAGTCTTCATTTGTTCTTGGGTTCTCATTGAAATAGTCCTTGTATTGCTAGTTTGCACAGATTCCTTCTACAAAGGCCTCTATCACCTCCCTATCAGTAATGTCGTGGACTTGAGCCCTGAATTCTCCAAATCTTCTATAGTATTCCCTTAGACTTTCTCCTCTCCTTTGCTTTACTCCTTTCAATTCGGCTGCAGTCATTGGATGGGTAATAATGCCTGCGAAGTTGTTGCAGAAAGCTTCTTGCAAGTCTTCCCAATACCTGATTGATCTTGACCTCAATTTGTCAAACCATTGTAGCGGCATTGCTTCGAGGGCCATTGTGAAGAATAGAGCCTTGATGTCGTCGTCTCCTCCATCTAATTCAATAGATTGGGAGTAAACCCTTAGCCATTGTCTTGGTTCAACTTTGCCATCATACTTGGAATGATTTGCTGGTTTAAACTTGTGTGGTAGCTTTAAAGTTTGTAGTCTTCCTGCGAAACAAGGAAATCTGTCGTATGGTTCTGTTCTTCCGTAATTTGACGATCTTGCCCTTCTGTAATAAGACCTGTCTTCTTTTAACTCATACTCTCCATAGTCATCTTCTTTGTCAAATCTTCTTGATATTTCTTGGTAGCGTTGGCTTAATTCTGGTTTGTTTCTTTCTTGTTGCTTTGAGTAGTGTTCCTTTCTTCCATTGATATTAGTACTTTCTACTGATCCTATCCTTTGAAAATTCGATTTTTTGGGTGGCTGCTCCCTTCGTGGCTCCTGTGGAATTTCTTCGCCGGGTTGCTTTTCTGATCCCTCGACTTCTTTCTTCTGGTCTTCCTTTGCTTTCCCGTTATTCGTGAGGGTGTACAACTCCTTTGTTAATTTTGCAATTCTTTTCCTTTTTGTATTTTTGTGGCTTCTTTTTCCGCCTTCTTTATGTTGTATTCCGTTAGCTCCGCTTTGTATTTATTCCAGACTTGCTTCCTTTGTTTAGCTCGGTTCCTCCTTCCAGCTTTCAATTTGTTCTTCTTTAGCCTTGCTAGTCTTTGCTCATCATTTTCGTTGCTGTCGCTTTTCTCATCTGGTGAGATGTTGCCTTCTGATTCGTCTGAAGATTTTATATCTGGTATCTATGGTGGTTCCAAAGGTTGTTCTAACTGCTCCGCCATGTATACAGTATACCTCTTTCGAGCTCTTCTTGTACGGTATTCCATCCTTCGTTTGGTTGAGCTGTCTGTAGCTTCTGAGCTGGATCTGAGTTCTTTTCCTTCTTGATAAGGTAGTTCTTCAACGCGCGTGCCAGTCTGGGCTTTGCTTGAGGTGAAAGAACCTGGCCAATGCACCATACAATCTTATGGGGTAACTGTCATGATCATCCCTTCTTGTGCTCCCTCCAGGAGTATTCTTCTTGCTAAGTTCATCTTGTTTTGGGTAAAGTGCTGATAGACTAATGCCGCGTTGCGCAGTCCGTAAGTTCCCAAGTTCTTCTTTGAGTTGTACGGGTCGTATCCTTTCGCGATCGTTGTTGTGTCTCCGAGTCCAATTAGGCTTGGCTCTTGTGCCGTGAAGATTGTCTTGGAATCGGGTTGTATCTTTTTTTTCAGAGTCGGTTTCGTATCCGCTTTCTTCCTTATTCCGAGTTGTATCTGAAGTTGAGAGTTTCGTCATCTTCTCAGCGAGTTTGTATTGAACTTCGTCATCGAATTCTTTTTCTTCTCGGAGACGGGTACGAAGCTTGCCGTCGCCGTCAGCCTTGCAGATCTAGGATCCGAAGACAAAGGTTGTTCCCGCCGAAAAAGTCATCTTGAGGTTGAGGTCCGCCGAACTATCGAGAAAAAAAATTCGTCGAAAGCCCCTACCTGGCGCGCCAGCTGTCGATGTTTTACCATCGATAGCCTGCCACGGGGGTACCCGGGACAGTTGTTCGGGCTTCGGCGAATAGCGGAATTCAGCGGTTACGCAAAGAGACTCACGATTTATACTGGTTCAGGCCCTCGACTTGGTCGAGTAATAACCTTACGTCTAGTTTTGGCGTTAGCCTGTTTGCGTTGTATTGCTTTGAGTATCGGGCATGCGTTCTCCTCTTACGATGGGTACCCTCACCAGCCCTTTATAGTCCAGACGCTGAGAGGCGTTGTTTGTGTCCTATTCGGATACAAGGTCAGAGTCCTAAGCTACGCTTCGGGCGTTTTTCCTCGTATAGTTTGAGTTGGAGTTTCGGTTTTGCACGTTACTTTGCTCCGCGTTCTTCTTGACGATTAAGCTGTAGGCCTTGTTACCAAGGTCTACCTCCCTGCAGTATGGTCCATAGGGGGCCCGTAGGATTCCCCATCGACAAAATATTGTTAATATTTTTTATGAATCTAACTAAATTTAAGAAAGCTCGTCATGCAAAAAAAACTCTAGACGACTTTCTTTTTGAAAAGGAGAGTATATGTTTTTTTTTAAAATATACTATATCGAGAAAAGTCTAAATCAACTAAACTGATACTCCTGCGGAGTACGTAAGGTACTAGTACTTCGCTACACTCTTGTTATGCATAAAAACTCTAGACGACTTTCTTTTTGAAAAAGAAGAGTATATGTTTTTTTTAAAATATATTATATCGAGAAAAGTTCAAATCAACTAAACTGATACTCCTGTGGAGTACGTACGTACTAGTACTTCGCTACACTGAAACAAAACTCCCCAGCGCCAGACCTGCAACTACAACGTGCAGAGAGGCAGAGCAGCCCACACGGGAACCGGCACCCCACCGCACACGGCCGGCCGCCGCCTTCGAGCTTCCTCGCTTTCCCCATCCCGCATTCCCGTTCACCATCTGCGAAACAGAGGAGGAATGGCCATCTCCTCCTTCCTCTCCGTTCGCAAGCGCCCAATCGTCGTCGTCATCGCCGTCACCCTCTTCATTTTCCTATCCTCTCTCTTCCTCTTCTTCAGCCCCGGACCGTCGGCGCTCCCATTTTTCTCCTCCTCATCCTCACACCTCTCCTCTCAAGTCTCAATTCCCGTCTCCTCTAACGCATCTTCACCCGAAACCCCAACCTCTGTTGCCTCCAACGGGGGCAGCAGCAGCACTTCTGCTGATCGCGTCTCCGCTGACGCATCTCCGCCCGGAACCGGAACCGCCATCGCGTCTGATGCGGTCAGCAACAGCACCGCTGACCCGCCTCGGCCAGACGCCACCGCCGCTGCCGGTGCTGGTGACGCGGAGGCTGACGTGGCCCAACCAGATCACGGCATGCCCCCTGTCGCCACTGAAGCGAGTGGATCGGCAGGCAACGGTGATACAACCGCGGGAGTCTCGAGCGAGCGAGATGAGGAGGGGCAAGGCGGCGGCGGCGCCGTGGAGGAGCCGGTGGAGCTGCCGTCGTGGGAGCTGTGCAAGGTGGGGAATGGGGTGGAGGCCGCGGACTACATCCCCTGCCTCGACAACGTGAAGGCGATCAATGCACTCAAGTCGCGGCGGCACATGGAGCATCGGGAGAGGCACTGCCCGACGGAGCCGATACCGAGGTGCCTCGTGCCGCTGCCCGAGAGGTACCGGCGTCCGGTGCCGTGGCCGCGCAGCCGTGACATGGTGAGGACCCCCGCTTGCTTGCTTCGGTAAGCGAGGAAGATGTTTCCACTTCTGTTTGTTTATTCCCCAATGGATGATTAGTGGTTGTAGTAATTTAATATGCTAATCTGCGCTCCTATACTTTGATTAGGATGCAGTTTTGTAGTATGTGGCCTGCCAGCGCCTTGATTATGAGATCCAGTTGAGCACACAGTTTTAACATTCTCGAAACTGAATAGCAGACACATGCCTGGAAAGGGTAGTAGAGCTCTGTCATAGATCTTGGATGCAGCCTTAGAAGTTTGTGATCTAATATGCCATCTTATTGAGCTGTAGTGCTGTACATAAAGCGTGCTGCCAAGTTGGGAATTTTTTCATCCAGGTGGTTAGTGGTAACATATACTGATGCAAACTTTTTTTATTCATTCCCGAGAATGACCCTTGGGAACATGGCTATGCTGTATGAATACTGTCTATCAGATGAAAATTCACGGCATGGATATTGAGTTTCCCTTTTCTTTAAATGCAGACTTTATCACATATCTCTAATGCTCAAATTTGGAATGTTCCTAGTTTATGTTTTATAACTTTGGTTCAACATTCAGTAAAGTTTACAATTTCTGACTACCTCGCAATATTACATTCCGCTTGCTAATTTCAGATTTGGTATAACAATGTTCCTCACCCAAAGTTAGTGGAATACAAGAAGGACCAGAACTGGGTCAGGAAGTCTGATAACTATTTTGTTTTCCCTGGAGGTGGGACTCAATTCAAAAATGGCGTGACCGCATACATTCGATTCATTGAACAGGTAGCTATTACTTATGCTCTTTATGTAATTCCAGCTATGTTCGGTCATATATGCTTGCATGTGATGCTGCTTTCTGATAGAAGTTCAGTATATTACTGATATTTTTGTAGTATCTTCATTGAAGACCCAGTGTGTCAAAAGAAAAGTCATACTTGCATTCCTTGGATAATCATCACAAATTGGAAAATTTACTCACTTAAACACGACAAATATAATGTTCTCCCTTGTCTTTGTCTGTAATAACTCATGGCTTGCGGTTATTTTTTTTTATAGATTTTACCAAACATTCAATGGGGAATCCATACAAGAACTGTCCTGGATGTTGGATGTGGTGTTGCTAGCTTTGGTGGATACTTGCTTGACAGGAATGTTATTACCATGTCCTTTGCACCCAAAGATGAGCATGAAGCTCAGATTCAGTTTGCACTGGAGCGTGGGATTCCAGCGTTTTTGGCAGTGATTGGAACACAAAAGCTTCCTTTCCCTGATAATTCATTTGATGTCATCCACTGTGCAAGGTGTAGGGTCCACTGGTATGCTGATGGCAAGTACTTTGGAACACTGTTATATTCTCATGTAGTTCTTCTCTTCATTTTATTAAATACAGCATTGTTCACTTATTTTATACACTGTTTTAATGTGATGTGTGTGATATGCATACATTTTTTTTGGTTAAAGCTACTCTACTTGGGGCATGCAGGTGGAAAACCATTGTTGGAGCTCAATAGAGTACTCAGGCCTGGAGGATATTACATTTGGTCTGCAACACCTGTCTATCGCAAAGACCCAAGAGATGTAGATGATTGGAATGGTTTGTGCCCACTATCTTTCGCCTCATATGTTTCTCATTAATACGAACCTCCAGCATATCATTAGTATCTCAATCAAATTATGCACCTTTGAGGTAATACAAGTGTCATCTAGGTTTCATCCACATGTATTAGCTCCATACGTTGAATATATTTTTTAAGTGAATTTCTAGCTTCAGTCCATATCCATGTCAATGTGCAATATAGCATAACAGTTAATAACAATCTAATAAAAATACAAGAAATGCAGCAGCTATATGCCAGTAGATTGAACTCATTAGTTAGTCCTTTAGGAATTTGTAGTTATTGCCTTGTTTTTACTAGCATATCATATATGACCAGCGTTAAATGGTCATACTTAAAATTGAAATGTTTCACACTTTGGTTAATAAAATATATTTGCATCGTACCTTATCTGTTTGACCTTGGGCCTGCAAATCCTTTTTCTTTTTCAACCTATCATATGATTGAGCAGAGAATAATCTCTAGTTGCTGATTTGATTTGTGTTCAATGGCTGGCAGCGGTGGTTGCTCTGACCAAATCGATCTGCTGGAGGACAGTGGTAAAGTCTCGAGATAGCAATAAGATCGGAGTTGTTATATACCAAAAGCCGACATCAAATTCATGCTACCTTGAGAGAAAAAATAACGAACCGCCTCTGTGCTCTGAGAGTGATCGATCACGTTTCCCTTGGTACATTTTCTTGAACTGTCTTAACCAGTAGTTGCATCAGTGGTCAAGATTCAAGGCACTTATGATTTGTGCCATCTTGGGTCTTGGTTACTGATGCATCGGCTTCAAAGGGGATTTATGCTATGATCTTTATTCCTACCATATATATTAATCATCTTGTATTCCCCCCATTCAGGTATAAACCTCTCGATAGTTGCCTCTTTCCCGCAGTTCCAAGTTCTGGTGGAGGAAGTAGCTGGCCCATCTCGTGGCCTGAAAGACTTAATATGAAGCACTCGACTACATCTAACAATTCTTCCATTCAGTTTCCTCAAGAAAAAAATGATTCTGATACAAATTACTGGAAGGACCTTGTTTCAGAAGTATATCTCAATGAATTTGCAGTTAATTGGTCTAGTGTTCGCAATGTTATGGACATGAATGCGGGTTTTGGAGGGTAAGCAAAAACTGGTTTGAGATCTTTATGCAAAATTAATTAGATTAATTGACTGTATCAGCTGTTACAACGATATGCCTTTTGAAATGTCTAACTTTAACTTCTCTGCCTGTATCTTGTTTGACACTTAATTCAGATGTGTCAGACAATCAGAATTGCTAATTTGTAAATCTATTGACACTATGGTTTTCACCTTTTTTTCTGGCATAGTTTTTTCTTGTTGAAGGTAAGAATATGCTGTATTTTTGAACAATTGACTTCGTAATCCTTGGCTTCAACTTTTCTAATGTTAAACGGAGCACACTGTACATAGTTTTAGAAGCTGCCAGTCGGCTTTTCAGTGCTTTTCATTCATAGTCCTGGATTGCGAGCTGGGAGGGTAACCATACTTCATTAAGATCAAGTATTTAACTTTATTCAGAGGACATATGATGTGCTTGCATGATTCTTATGGTTTATATTTGATATTACACTTAGTTTCAAATTTTATTTATAGAAATTCTTCTTTTCCTAAACGTAGTCATAAACTGTCCTTCATCTGTGGCGAGACATTGATCATGATTGTTTCCTTAAATCAGATTTGCAGCATCAATTATTGATCTACCGTTGTGGGTTATGAATGTTGTACCTGTTGATCAGCCAGATACATTGCACATCATTTTCAACAGAGGTCTGATTGGGGTATATCATGACTGGTGTGAATCTTTTAATACATACCCACGGACTTATGATCTTCTTCACATGAGTTATCTCTTAGGGCCCCTTACGAAAAGGTAAATGAGCTTGTCTTTTAATTGTTGAAGAACTCGTACTGTGTATATTCTGACATTCTCTTGTATCACAACTTTATAGCAAGAAAGCTTTTTTCGGTTTTGTTTTTATCTTAGGTGCCACATCATTGAAGTTGCAGCTGAAATTGACAGAGTACTTAGACCTGGTAGATGGTTTGTGCTGCAAGACACTATAGACGTGATAAGAAAGATGGACCCTGTTCTCAGGTCTTTGCATTACAAGACTACGATTGTCAAACATCAATTTCTTGTTGCCACCAAGGGTTTCTGGCATCCTGGCAGTACAGGTTCTAATTCATGATGATTCTGGCTTCCACGCAAAATGGTATTGGTGCCATGGACTCATTGTGTTGATTCTTCTTATTCTTTTTACGTTGATTCTTCTCATAGCATAGATGATTAGATGCTTCATTGAAGCCCCATAGCAAGGTGAGTTTCAAGTTCCAATTTTCCCCGCTTTGTTTTACTATTTTTTTAAAAATGTTTTGGCCTTGGCCATGCAAATTTCTGTTTGGTATTGCAAACAGGTTAAATCAATAGGTTAGTGCTAACAAGTCTGTTAGGTGAATTCTATAATTTTTTATATATATATTTAGCTATAAACTTCAACAGTATGTCATCAATACTGTATATTTAGCCATGAAACTCCTGCCTTCTTGCAAAAGAAAAGGTATGACTTTGAATTATTTCGTTGTTACTCAATTTTATACTTCCTCCGTCCCATAATATAGGGGATCCTGAGTTTATCCAAAGTCAACTATTCTAAGTTACACCAAGTTTGTCGAAAAAGAATAATAATTTTACAACATCAAATGAGCATAATTAGATTTAGACCTATTATATATGAAATATATTTTCATAAGTTGCTTCTTTGATGTGCTAGATGTTAATATTTCTCTCTATAAATTTGATCAAACTTTGGGATAGTGGACTTAGTACAAACTCGAGTTCCTCATATTATTGGACGGAGGTAGTAGAATATACTAACAATGGGTCTGATCTCTTCAGTGAAATTTAAGATAGCAGTTGGGAAACTCAGAATAACCATCCCATTCCAGCTGTTAATTCATCGCCTTCTTTATGTTTTTGCCATGAGCCGCACCAGCACCATCTAGGCTTATGCCCCGTGTGGGCATTTTGGTGAATTCTTTTTGGTTTGTAGACCAGTAGAGCAACGCGGAAGAAAGACAACTAAGGTTTTGCGTGTGAGTGACGCCTCGGATCAAGGAAGAGATTCAGCGGCGGACCCAGGTATTGATTAAGACTAGGGCCAAATTTTAATAGTGAAACTATCAAGTTGAGTCTAAAAGATCATCTCTCACATCAATTCATTGAATTGTGCAACATGAACATAAGAGAAATAACATGTCAAAGTCTTGTTGCTCTTCGCTGCTGTGTTCAGAAGAAACAAGGGCACATCTCGCTCTTACGTAAGCAAATGATTAGTAAATAATGTGGCTTAAAGAGACACAAATTGATATAAATGTTTCGGAATTCTTAGGTTTGAGTGTTTGATAGACTACACGTAGGCTGGTTGGATGAAGATGATTGACCTGGAACTGGAATTGTGAAGTAAAAACAATTCATGCAGTTTCGAATCGAAGTTAATCCAGGCACGGAGAGCAACCAATACTATCGTAGTATATGGATTAAAACATACAGACATCTATCTATTCTCGAGAATTCAAATACGTACATACATAAACACACGTGCAGTCAGTCAATGTATGCATTCTCCCTGGAACGTCCAGCTGATCTTCCGTGTCTGCCGCTCTCACAGCGGGTGCGCCATGTAGCGCTTCCAGACTTCCAGTCTACGATCACCATCTTGAGGTCGAACAGCTTGTTATCCAGCACAACGCAGCAGGTCATGTGCACGATGAGCCACGACGACTACGGCCAAGGCCCTACTGGCCCTAGGCCTGGGTCCGCCAATGGAAGAGAAGGATTCATCTGGATCCAGATTGGGGTCTTGGGAATAGTAAATTCTGCCCCTAAGGCTTAAGGGCACGTGCTCTCCTCACGTGCACATCAGGATGATGCGTGTATATCAGTAGAGATGTACACAACTGGATGTGCTTCAAGATACGTTCACATCAGGCGAGAGACAATAGAAGTGCGCATATCACATCGAGAGCATGTACCCTTAAGAGAGAAAAAAAAACTGCTTCTGGGTGCTGGGAGCATTTCTGTTACAGGTAGCCACCGAGGGTTTCTTTGCCAGCCGCTTCCGTGCCCAGATGCTTGCACCATTGTAGCCATCGTAGGCGAGTGCATGGAAGCCACACAATGCATCGTTTGGCACTGCAAAGATCCTGGCAGCATGTTGTCCTCTACGGCGCTGTTTGTGCCCTGCATTTTTCAAGCCCCAACAGGCAACAGGCACTGCCGTGAAAAATGCAGCATGTTGGGTGGTCAGATAGATGCGCGGAAGTCTCGGCAGCAGCCAGCCCAATTGGCAGTTGCGAGGATCGGCATGGCCGTCAGGCCGTGGCTAGCCAAGAGGGAGATAGATGCTCGGTGATTCGGTGAGGATACTCACGGTGCGCTGATGTGATTAGTCATTTTCTGCACCCCGAGAGCTGATAGGGCATAGCATCACCTACTTGCTCGCTGTCGGCTGCGTAAGGGCCGGTGTAAGTTTAAGTTCGTTATTTGTCGCTAGATATCTCAAGGATCCAAAATGCAATGGATCACTAAAAAGAAATGATACAACAATATTGCGTGTGAGTTGCAATGTTATTTTGAATCAAGTCATTTTGAATGGATGATTTAGAGATGCTGTCACTTCTTGGGAGCAATTTCTTATCATTCATGTCTTAAATCAATTAGACTGCTTGGTTGTAAAGCTAGATATAATTCATAAAAAAGATACTAAACTGGAAGCAGCAGAATAAGGTTGTAAAGAACCGATGCTCCGTACCTATGGGCATAACATGCGCTGAAAATTTTCAAGTCTCCGCTGCATGGGATTAACACCTAACTTTTTCAACTTCTGAATGAGCTGCCCAAGTCTCTCCTCAGAAGCAGCTGCGTAGTTGTTTGCCGAATGAAATGTAGCATGAAAAACATAGCACATCGATTAAAAGGCAATTCTACATCTAGTTGTTATAATCAGAATGAAAATAATTAAATTGTTAAAGAAAAGTAGCAGCCTAAGCACATGAGAGCACTGAAACTGCAGAAACAGTGATTTTTTTAGGCGTAGTCAGTGCATATCACCAATTAATTTATCCAAAATGATAGGATGCGGGCATCTGTCCCGTCCGGACGCTGCGCGCCTGTGCCTATTTACCGACCAGACCAATAAACCATGCGTACGTCTTCTTCCGTTGCTCACCTTGCGCCGCTCCTGTTTCTCCTCTGCCGACCCCCCCCCCCTTTGTTGCTCCTGTCGCTCGCCTCACACTACTCTTGCTCCTCCGCCCACTACTACAGAAATTTTAATGGAGGTGGGCGAAATGGGTTAATGGAGGCGGGCATTGCAACCGTCTCCAATCATAGGTCACGGTTAATTATGACTTTACGGAGGCGGTTGCCTTGCCCGCCTCCGCCCGCCTCCGTTAATCCTTAACGGAGGTGGGCGCATTAAGGCAACCGCCTCTATTAATGTAGATTAACGGAGGCGGTTGCCCTAGCGTGCCCACCTCCGTTAACATTTTAACCAAAACCTGATTAAGTGAGATTGCACCTCGCTATCTTCATGGGCTCTCATGTTCATACAGTGAGAACACAGACATATGGTTGTCGTCTGATTCAGACTCTGCCGGTGAGTTTTCGCAGCAGCAACAAACTTCCTCACATGAACCAGGTACTGCGGTTCCAGTCTCGACATCCGGTACATCCATTCGGACCTGTTGTCCATACCTGCAAAACCTTATTCCACAAGCAGTGACAAAGCAGTATTACAAAGAAATAGCCGCAGAGAAGAGAATAGATCTAGAGCTAAAGAAATAGCAGTTTTCTCTCTCCTCCATGAAAAGGTGGATCTAGATCTAGATCTAGAGCCCCAAATGATGAAGAAGAGAGAGGAATGATGTTTGGAGAGCGTTTATCTACTTTTTGCGGTGTCCTCCTTCAACAAACCAAGAGCAAAACTTCTCCCCCTAGATTTTGCTTAATTTTTAGGGTTTTGTAGCTCAAAACCCTAAAAAATAGAAGAGGAGCCACGAGGAAGAAGAAAGGGGGGGGGGCTGGGTGCATTTATAGCACAGCAATAATAGAGGCGGGCATAGTAAAGAAAACCGCCTCCGTTAATCACATATTAGCGGAGGCGGTCGTATTACAAAAACCGCTTCGATTAATTTATTAATGGAGGCGGTGACGTTAAGATGACCGCCTCGGTTAATAGAGGTGGTTGAGCAACGGTGACCGCCTCCGTTTATGCATTTACGGCCAACCGCCTCGGTTATTGAATGATTAACCGAGGCAGTCACTTTCGTTAAACTTTAACCGAGACGGCCACTCGGGAGGCTGGCCGGGCTAGGGACAACGGAGGCGGGCAAAAATGGTGCCCGCCTCCATTCAAAAAAGGGCGCTGCCACCTAAATTGAATCATGTAGTAGTGGCGTTGCTCTGCGTGCCCGTCCTGCTGCTCTTGCCGCTACTCCTTGTAGGATCTCTGGTTAGCCGAGAGGGGGTTGAATAGGCCTATCAAAACAAACACTCAAACTTTCATCAAATTCAACCTATGGCACTGCCGGACAACGGCAATACAAGGCCAGAACAGCGACACTGCCGCACCTGCAGACAACTTCGAGTTACAGTTCAAAATCAGTGAATGTAAACTTCAATCGGAGAAATTTCTTAGTTTCCGGCAGGTATGAGATTCACAGATTGAGAGGTAGAAGTGGTAGGAATACAACACACAAGTAAATCGACCACAAACCCTAAAAATCACCTCAACAATAATATAAAATGCAAATGATGTAAATCAAGCACAAGGTGACACGATGATTTAACCCGTGGTTCAGCTCGCCACCAAGCCTTGCCTATGTATACGTTGTTGAGGTTAGCCACGAAGGCTTAGGGCTTTGCAATCCTTTCTTGTTCTCAAGTCAACAGTGTCACACCCGATTTTAAGGATAAAATGGGATGCATAATCTTATGTGCGTCCAGAGATCAGTCACACACATAGGCCGATAAATTATAAATAGTATCATCACAAGTGTTTATTACATCACGAATAATACGACATAGGTTTCACATAAATGTAGCAGAAGTATAAAGAAAAATCTCTCGCGGAAGCTCCATATCACAGGGATATCAACTGGTTGACCACAAGTCTAGTAATCCTTAGGA